ATTTTTGATAGTGCATCAAAATATGTTAAGCAAAAATAAGAAACAAATATTGAATATATTATTAATGCTTTAAGTTAATAATATAAAACAATTTTAATATAAAGTTTGATTTTTCGAGATGAAAAAAAGACCTTTAAACAGAAAATATAGTTATTTAAAAGATTTATATATTGAAAAAAAAAGAAAATAGAAAGAATTTTCAAAAAAATTTATAAAAAAGTAACTATTACAAGTCTTTTCTTATGCAATTTAAAGAAAAAGTAAGATCTTAAAACTTATTTTTTTTAACCAAAGATTCCATTCCAATGTATTAGTATACTTATTTAATTTTTTTAAGGCTTTTATAATGAAGAAAAAGAATTGAAAAACAAAAAAATTATATATAGAAAAGAGTTTTTTGTTAATATTTAATTAATATAAATAAGAATAAAATATTTTTATTATAAAAAATAAAATATCAAAAAGTTATATTTTATAATTTAATAGTTAAAATCAATATTTTTTTATTATTGTTAAAGATATTAATTATTAAAAAAAATAATAATTTAAATAAATATTTGATTTATATTTTGTAAAAAATTATTAATATAAAAATAATATAACTTAACTTTAATATACAGTATATATATTATTACTTCATACAATATATACAGTATATATTTTATTTAATATTAAATATAAAAATATATAAACAATTTTTTTTAATTGATTAAGGACATTATATATGAGACTTTTATTAATAATTAATATTATATCATTATATTAACCATCTTTATAAACTAAACAATTGCTATTCTAAATATAAATTAATATTATTTAATAATATTGTTTTTAATATTACTGAATTTTTTTGAATCAATTTGACTATCTTAATTAATTAATTTATATTTCAAAAATAAGTCTGCATATAGATAAAACTTATATAGGAGGAAAAAATCCTATTATCAATTTAAATCTATCTTTTTATTGATCTAATTATATTTTTCTGCTGCTTATTAAAGAAAGATCATATGTGATGTTATTATAAAAATTAACTCCAGTTATAAAAATTAACTGTTATCACTAATTTTTGGAATATATTACTAGTATAATACAATACTACTGTTTTTATTACTTATGGAACTAGTATTTTTGTTTGGATTTTAATTTAATTTTGTATAACTTTTACTAAATATATTTGAGTTAGTAATTTTTGTTTAGATTTTTATTACCTGTAATTAATATTTTAATCTTTTGTCATATAATTAAGTTTTATAAAGTATCACAATTGAAATAGATCTACAAGCTTCATATTAGGATAGATTAGCTTAGAATTAACTTTTTTGAATTATGTAATAAAGTTTGTCATTATTAGTTTTGAGTAAGAATTTATAGACTTTTATTAAAGTTAGATCAAAAGTTTTTCCTTATAAAATTTTTTATACTTTGATTTGTTTTCAGTTTACAATTATTAGAAAGATCAAAAATCCTATTTTTATATAGTCTAATTGAATTTATCTATAATTAAGAATTATTAAATATAATATATGCAAGATATTCAGTAAATCTATATATGAAGATAAATATATTTTTTTTGTTTCCTGTAAATATTGAACTAGAAACATACATTTGAAGATTTGGAAATATTATTTACTGTGTTATTGATTCACAAGTTAATATATAAATAATTTTATTTTATAGCTTTTAATTATTTTTTTATTTCTTACTAAAACTCTTTTAAAAAAATATTAAAAAAATATTGTTTTATAGTAAATTTAAATATTAAATTAATATCAAAGTGGTATTATTAAAAGTTTTACTTTTTATATAAATATTTATAAAGTTTTTAATTTGTCTAATAATTAAATTTTAATAACAAATAATTTTTTTTTATATTTAATAGTTTTTTAAAATAATTTTGTTATTTTATTATTTTATTTTATTATTTTTTATTAGACAAAGAGTGCTAATAGTACATACTTTATTAAAAAATATACATATTTGTTTCTTTTAGAATATATAATTTGCAATACACAGGTAAATAAAAAAATAATGTTTATTTATTGAAAAAAAATTTTATAAGTTATAACTAAAGATAGTTATTTTTTATAATTTTTATTACAAATAAAAATATAATTAATTTAATAATCGAATTATTTAACAATACTTGTACTTTAGAATAACTGGTCAGTTAGGGTCTATGGATCGACTTAGAAAATCCAGAACTTTCCAGATCAGTTAGTATCAGGTGGCTTGGATAGTAATCATTTGACTAACCATATAAGTGAGAATTTAGTACAATGACACTATATGATTTTCTGAATCATAAAATCCGTATTCCATTCCCAGAAAAATGGTAACAATATTCTATGCAGATGTGGCCGAAGATTATAAACAACTTTATGAAAATAAAGAAGATTACGACGTGAAAATTTATGCCGGCGAGGAACTAGAAGAGCTTCACGCCCATTCACTAGTATTACGTACTCGTTCTCCCTACTTTCGTGGTGCGCTTTCACATGAATGGTCAACGAAGAAGGATGGTTACTTTATTTTCAAAAAGCCCAATATTTCTGCTTCGACTTTTGAAGTGATTCTTAAGTATAGTAGTTATTTATTAGGATTTTGGTTTCTTTATGAAATTCAAAAATAAAATAAAAACAAACATTTTTCTTTTATTGTATAGGTTTATTTATTGTGGAATCGTGGACCTTCGTGAACTAGATGGTACTGAGGTCTTTAAAGTTTTAGTCGCTGCGGATGAACTTGGACTTCAAAAACTTATTGATAATACTCAGAAATTTTTGATTGAAAATCGAGATAATTTCTTACGAGAAGATCCAGCAAAAATGCTGTGTATCGTTACCTGCCATGAAACGTTTGATGATATTAAAAAATTTTGTTTAGAAACTATCTTAGCCGATCCGGACATCTTATTTGGTTCAAATAAATTCCTGACATTAGAAGAAAGCGCACTTATGTCAATTCTTAGATGCGATGATCTTCTGATGGATGAAATCAATATTTGGGATTGCGTTATTAAATGGGGAATGTCCCGAGATCCTGAACTTAAAAGTAATGTCGAGAGCTTTAAAGATCAAGATTTTAAAGAGTTAGAGGATAGACTACATAATTTTATTCCCTTAATTCGGTTTCACGATATTTCAATGGAGGATTTTTACCTTAGGGTCTGGCCGTTTAAGAAGATTCTTTCTGAAGAACTTGTAGATGATATTCTCCGTTGTTATATGGTTTCCAAGGCTATTCCGCGCTGTAATGTATACGATCCAAGGGATACATCTGGGCTAGTTAACAGAAAACATTTTACTTTATTTGCAAGTTGGATTGACCAAAAATCTGAAAATTATACGAGATTTAATCAAATTCCTTATAAATTTACTCATATTTATCGGGCCAGCAAGGATGGTAATGATGCAAGTACTTTTCACCAAAAATGCGACAATCAAGGAGCTACTATAGTGGTGTGCAAGCTCGAAAATTCAGAAAGGTTAGCGGGTGGATATAATCCATTGGACTGGAGTGGTAATGGTCAATATAGATATTCACCTGAATGCTTCATATTTTCAATTGAAAACTGCAATGATCCTACTGCTAATAATAATGTGTGTCGTCCAGCTGGAAGCTACTCTAATAGTGCAGTTTATTGTCATATTTCATACGGTCCAATATTCGGAGGAGGTCATGATTTACAATGTACACCACCTAATCAGTGGAATTGCAATCCATATTCATATGGCAGTGTAAACCTTCCATCTTCATTCAAATCATCCGATTTTGAAGTTTTTAAGGTGGAGAAAAAGTAGATAGATACAATTATTTGTTGTTTAAAGAGAGTAAAATATACAGTATATAGTATCCGAGATCAGAATAATAGTATTAAAAGAGAATCCAATAAGTTATAATGGGATTGATATGGTCAGGAATAGGGATGTGTTTAAAAAGTGTGAATTTTAAATTGGTATTATGTGGCAAAAATACATTATGAATATACAGTATAAGTATATTATTAAAATTATCAATGTATGGCTAAATTTATTTCTAATTAAAATTATACGACATTTGTTGAAAAGTGTCTCAAATATTAGATTACTGTAATGAAATATTGAGATGCATTCGTTTTACTTAAATATCAAGAACTCTTCATATTATTATTTAGCTATAATAATATTTTTTTTGTTTTTAAAAAATTTTCAAAAAAAAATTTTTTTTTATCTCAAATAGGCATTAAACGCAAGATTTTATTAAACATTTGCTGCCATCGTATTAACAACCTTTTGTGACTAAACTAATATTATTAACTTATCTCAATTAATGTGTCCAAAGTATTAGGGAAAAAGGGTTAAATTTTTGATTTATAACTTTAAATAATATCCGGGCAAATTTTTCAACCAATTTAATTTTCACTTTAATTTTGTAAATATGTATTATCATAAATAAAAAATTATTTATTTATTTTTATAATAAAATAAGATACCGTACTGTAGATATATTAAAATTATAAAAAAAAATCAATTTTTAATTAAACCTATTACTGTAGTTTTATTAATTATAAATAATAAAGAATAGGTATAAGTATAATTACAAAAAAAATTTTATTTTTTTTATTTTTCTTATAATAATAAAACTATTATTTAAAATAATTTTTTAAAATTTTTTAAATAACATACTGTATATATTATTTATTTTATTTTTAAACTCAAAATCAAAATTATATTGGAATTACTTGTTATAAATAAATAATTAATTAAAAATAGTTAAAAAATAAGATGTATTTATTATAACTGTATTTAAAAATACGTTTATTACAATTATTTAATAAATTATAAATTATTATAACATCAAATTATATAAGAAAAAAATTTTTTTTTCAAGATACAGTGATTGATAATTAATAAAATCATTTAAAGTAATGATTCATTTGTAAGCTTGTTATTCTGTTAATTTAAGATTTCAAAATTTATTATTATTTATTATTGGATTATAGATAATTAGAAATAAAAAAAAACAAAATTATACATTATTTTAATTATAATATACATCGAACTTTTTATTTAATGACATGATATTTATTGGTATGCTTAATTAAAAACTTGTTAAGTTATAGGTTACTTTTATCTTTAAAATATAAAAACTTAATCAAAATGCATCATGCTAAATATACAGTATATTCACAGAATCGTATTTATTTACAGTATATATTGTATTTAAGCAATGTTTCAGATTTAAAACATTTTAATGAGCATAAGAAACACGAAGATTATTTATTAAAAAATATGGTTTATTGTGTTTGCAAGGCCGTCTAATTATAATGTGGAATAACATTTATTATTACATAACTCGACTGAAGTCGAATTTTTAATTTCCGTTAGATAACCGCGATAAACATGAAAAACGGCTTATACAATTCAAATGAAGGTCTTGATGATAATAGGTTGAGTTACTGATTATTAATGAACCATAGTGCAATTATTACGTTGTTGAAAAGACAAGAAATCAAAAACGCCATCAATTACGTAATTGAATAAATTATTTAAAAAATGATGATTCAGTCTTTCTTTAACGGATTCAAGTCATGAAAAAAATTTGCAAATCTACTCCCAAGAAACCTATTCGCAAATCCACTTTTATTGTATCGTATTTGAAATTCCAAATGGCATTTTACGAAGATTTGGCCGAAGATCTCAAGTTACTTTACGAGAATAGAAAGAACTGCGATGTGAAAATTCATGCTGGCATAGAGCTTGAAGAAATCTATGCCCATTCGCTATTATTACGTGTTCGTTCTCCCTATTTTCGTGGGGCGCTTTCACAAGAGCGGACAAAGAATAAGGATGGATACTTTATTTTTAAAAAACCTACTATTTCCGTTTCGACATTTGAAGTGATTCTTAAGTATAGTATTATTTATTATAAATATTAATTATAAATATTGATTTTTTTATGAAATCTAATGTTTAATTTATTCAAAAAAAAATATGTTACGTATAGGTTTATTTATTGTGGAATCGCGGACCTTCGTGAGCTAGATTGTACAGAGATTTTCAATGTTCTAATCGCTGCAGACGAACTAGGACTTCAAAAATTTATTATTTATATCCAGAAATTTCTAATTGAGAATCGGGCCAATTTCTTACAAGAGGATCCTGTGAGAATGTTACGTACTGTTATTTATTATGAAGCATTTGACGATCTAAAAAAATTTTGCGTAGAGGCTATCCTCGCCGATCCGGACATCTTATTTGGTTCAAACAAATTCCTCGCATTAGAAGAAAATCCATTAATAGCGATTCTTAAATCTGATGATCTAACGATGGACGAAATTGAAATTTGGGATTGCGTTATTAAATGGGGAATGGCCCAAGATCCTAAACTTAAAAGTAATGTCGAAAACTTTAAAGATCAAGATTTTAAAGCTTTAGAGGATAGATTACATAATTTTATTCCCTTAATTCGGTTTCATGATATTCCAATGGAGGGCTTTTATCTTGGAGTCTGGCCGTTCAAGAAGATTCTTACTGAAAAGCTTGTGAATGACATCCTTCGTTGTTATATGGTTCCTAAGGCCAAGCCGCGTTATAATGTATACCCTTCGAGGACTGCTCCTATTTCATCTACCTTAATTAATACAAAACATCTTATTTTATTTGCAAGCTGGATTGATCGAAAACCTGAAAATTATACGAGGTTTGGACAAATTCCTTATAAATTTAAACTTCTTTACCGGGCCAGCCAGGATGGAAATAATACCAACATATTTCGCCAAAGATGCAATAATCAAGGAGCTACCATAGTGGTAGGCAAGATTCAAAATTCTGAAAGGTTAACGGGGGGATATAATCCATTAAGTTGGAATGGTAATAATCAATATAAATATTCAACTGAAAGCTTCATATTTTCAATTGACAACTGCAATAACCCTAATAATTATAATCTGGGCCGTCTAACTGGAGCTAACGACAATAGTGCAATTTACGATCACAATTCATATGGTCCAACATTTGGGAGAGGCAATGATTTACGCTGTCAATTCAATAATTGTTGGTATTATAATGCAAACACATACACGTCTATTGGTCTTCAAAATCAATACAATATAACTGATTGGGAAGTTTTTAAGGTGGAGAAGAAGGTTTAATGCTGCGTTATCAAGAAATAGAATTTGTAATTCGTCTTATTATTCTAATTCTTATTCTTCACACAAGATTAAAGTTATTGTTTTTTAAAATGTTATGGTGTATTTAAAGGACATTATATTTTACTTGATGTTTAATTTTTAAAAAAAGCTTTTAAAACGTGACGCCTTATTGTGTGACGAAGATTTACATGGTAAAAGAGAAACTAAAATCATATTTATACATATTCTTTGATTAATAATTTTTTTTTTTCGCATTTATTTTGCATAAAAATTTAGTTGAAAAGACTTGTTATGGACCATAGTGACAAAGCAAATTATTAGTCAGGAGCAAAAGGCGATACAGAAATGTCACGTGTGTCCTTATGCCTGTCCACTAAATTTTAGAATAACGCAATATACTAGATATTCGGAATGTATTATTATATATACGCAAGCAAGTTAAAAAAAGGTTCTAAAAAGATTTCAAATTAACGGTGAGTCTGTCTGTCGCCATATTGGTGCTTTTTTAATTTTGAGATATTACTTAAACTTTGCTGAGGCTCTCACTTATAAAGTTCTCTTTTAAAGTACTCTTAGAACCCTTGACTTTCTCTGATAATTCAGTTCTCCCATCCTAATATTGACTCTTTATAACCCATGTCTTTTTGCGTTTTTTACAAGCTAAACTAGATAGTCTCTATTTTTTCGACTATGATGTCATCCTATTTATCTATCTCGGTGGGTAGTCTCAAGTGTGTCACACTTCCACCGAGTGATCGCGTCTGCATCACATGTCTTCCTCATTATCAAAACGTCAAAAAAAAATTTTTTTTTCATTAAATAAATATTGCATTTTTCAAAAAATCTTTTTAAAATGGTAATGTGCAACGGTAAAAAACTTTTAAATTAAATTGTATTAGCCAAGTGACTAAATGTAAGTTGTACTTTACTCAATATTTTAAACAGAAGTTTATCTACAACTGTAATTGAAGAACTCTTAAAATTAGTTTCATCAATTATAAACTATGATGTGATAATTACAATTCAAAAAGAATCTTATTATTGCTTACTTATTCTTTATTTTTTTAAACAAGTTGATTATTATATACTTTTATAAAGTTTAATATTTTTGGCATTGCTGTTTGATATGATTCGTAAACACAATATTTTTCAAAAGTATGTCAATTCTTCAAAATTTAAATTCTCAAAATTTAATCTTAAATATTATTTCTCTAAACATATTTTTATAGTTAAAGCATAAACTTGGTTTTATTAATTTATTTATTTAGACATACTATTTATTATATATTCAAATAGCAATAAAATTGGATTTTTATTTATCGAAATATACTAATTTTATTTTTAATATAACTAATCAAAAAGAATATTGGATTTATATATTTTAGTATATTATATAATGTAAACAAAATATTATCTTGTTAAAATATCATAAATATTATTATTTCAATATATATTTTAGTTATTATAATTATATATATATATATATATATATATATTTAGAGTGGAATGTGCACAAGGCATGTAATCTTTATTAATATATTTTATATCCAGATAAACACCAAGTGTCTCTACAAATTAACCAGAAATTGGTTGATATATGAATACCTGTTATGTCTCTACAGTTAATCTGCAGATTAACACTGCATTAGTACATATATTGCTATAAGACTAGCTACACCAACCACTATAACCTAACTATGCGTTCAT